TATTTGAAGCTGTGATTTGTAATCTGTTGAGGAAACTGTCATGAATAATAGGTTTCAAGATGACAATGAATTTTAAATTTTTTTGAGTGAAATCTAGATGACAATTTTCTCACCACCATTTGGAGATACCTTGAAGTGGCAGTTGTTGGTTAAAGAACAAAAAGCCAAATGGCATGGCATACGTATATAAAAAGTAGAAGATAATGATGCATGAAATAAAAGGAGAAGAATTGAGGAAAAGACTGGAAAGTGGAAGTGCAGAAAACAGTTTGACCCACCGGTGAGCCTAGTCCTATTTCTATGGAAATGAGCTCATTACGGCTAATTTTTTTTTTTTTTAAGCTCCTAGTTGATTCGTGAAGTGCTTTTTGAATTTCGACAAGGGCTTCATGAATCACTGAAAAAACATTTGAACAAAATATCCAGAGTCAAATGATTACCAACTCCCATAGATTAATCAGCTCTCTGAGTACTTTATATAACAGAACATGCACGAGGAGAGCCAGCTTTTCCCCCCGGTATCCTAAGTCTATAATGTTTCATTCTGCAAAGAAAAGGGACCATGCTTCTGAAATCTAATTCAGGATGGTTACTCCCATCTAAGAACCTATATTAAATTGGAAAGACGTCTTTGATTATTTCTTTTTCCCTGCTGTTTCCGTGTTTGATCTGTTTTAAAAATCAGCATCAAGAGAATTGGCCACAGAATCGCTTCTCGTTCTTGAGAAATAAGAGCATCTGTGGTATTCATACAAATGGTGCTTTCACATTTGTAACCAAGTCAGTATTGGCTGTAGGCACTCCTAAGCAGGCAGGAGAAATGCCTGAGGGCCAAAACATTGGTTTTTCTTAAACCTTCAGGATACTGAAATAAAAATCAAATAAAGCAATGGATTTAAATAGCAAGTGAGCTTTATTTATTTTATAAAAAACAGATTGCCTATAGACATTAACAGACTATATGTCTGTGTTAGCCTGGATTTTTAACTGAACTATACTGACTGACTTTGCATGTTATACATAAAGCATCTACACCGAACACCCTTTATTAATTCTCTAAACACTTCAAAAAGAACGCCCTTGGCAAATTCTGTGACTCTCTGCTAATTTGCCTTGTACTAATTTTCAAGGTGTGTGTAGGTCACCAGCATTCTCCAGCACGCATCTTGTAACAACGTACGTGCTAGAAATTACAGGAAATACATCTAATCCTGTTGTGCTTAAGTGCATACTGTCTCTTTTCTGCAACCTTTCATATTTTAGAAATGGCTCTATATATCTCTGTACTTCAAAAATGTGACAAACAGATGAGAAATAAGCAGTCCTCACTGGACATGCTCAGGCCACACTGTCGCGTTCATGTACATTCTTTAAACAAGTCCAGGAGTGTGCCCTGTCGAGTGCAAACTGAGGGTTAATTGCCATTTGGAGCGCTGAGCTTTCGGACTGGCTTTTAAAAAAAATTCTGTAGAGGTGGAGGGACACATACACATATACCCTCCTGCACTTATGACAGGCTTTAGACAGTTTTGATTTTAGTACCAAAATGAGGGATATATTTCGGGATAACTTACTCTAGGAATTACATTGGTGTAAATAAGAAATAATTTGGCGTATATGACTCCAGTGAATTCCTACAGATTTCGACTGAAGTAATTTTTATAGAATTAGGCATTCTGTATTAATTTTGGAAGAAGGCTGTAAAGTTACATGCTTTATGCTGTTCAGTTGATAACATCATTAATAATGCAAAGAGAGTAGTTTCATTGTACATCTTCTGATACATTTGGGCAGGAGCTTGTGAAACACCAAAGCTGCTTTGTTAAAATACTTCCAAGGTTTTCTTTTCACATCTCACATTTCTACACTTCTCAAGGCACCAGAAGCACAAAAAAAATCAGCATTTGAAGAAAAACAAAGCCAGAGGATTGATGTGGAAAAGGAAAATATCAAAAGCTATTTCTCTTAGCTATGAAATCTTATGACAAAGTTGTAGAGGTGAATACAACTTTAGGGTGAAAGTTTGTCTGCCCTGCTTACGAAGCACAGAGTTGAAGTCCAAATGCACTGATTTTTCTGAGACTTTACTCTCCCAGGCTTTTTAATTGCAACTTGATTTTTGGCTTTACTGATGGCTCATTTCATTTCCTATTTCCCTCAAGGGAAGGCTTTGGTGTAGGATGGAAGCACAATTTGTTAGTTTCTGGTTATCTAGTATTTTGCTTTTATTATTTATTTATGACTGGGAATAATGATACTTCTTCCTATTCAGTTCTAAATTCAAGGTGACAATACTTCCTTGGAAACTGAATTATAATATAATATTATCATCTAGGAGTTAACAAAGATCAACACTCCATCATGCTATACCTAGACCAGCAGGTAGTCATTGTTCCAAAATTTAAAATACAGCCAAAGCACAGGACAATGATAAAAAGCAGAGAATTTTGTTAGTGCTACCAATCACCTTTGGGGGGAAAAAAATTTTTTTTCTTCGTTTTAATTATTTCTATAGAGTTATTAAAACAGAGACTAAGAGAATATAAAGACAAGGAATACAAAAGGTGAACAGTGAAATCATTGGGTAGAGGGGTCTATGATCATGAGAAAGAAATGGAGAGGTAGAAATACTCTGAGGAAGACTGGTGGAAGAATCAGTAGTAAGTCAGCCACAAGAGAGAACGTCCAAAGCAAAACAAGCAGCATTGCTGATACATCTCAGCTCATGCTATGCCCTCTCTCTTATCCAAATCTGCCCTCTTGCATAGCTGTGCTTCCAAGCTCCAGACAGACATCCCCTTCTCGGGTCAGACTCATGTGGGCTCCCACAAAGCTTTCACATCTGTAGAACACTGCCATTTTAAGGGTTTCTAATTACATTTAAGCATAAAAACATACAGAGCACATTGTACATTATCTTTATAATACGAAGTGATATGATGTGCTAATTTCAGTTAAAAGTTTGGTTTGCAGATTGCACAAATGCTATATGAGTGACAAAGGTTATATTTCAAAATAATTTATATTCCTTTCCTTACTAAAGTTATTTAGCTAAAAGCTCTTTTCTCCAATTTTGTCTTAGGGCTAAGAATCATTTAATGCAGAAAATACCGATTATGCAGTTTCCAATAACAGATAGCGCTTTCTCCTGCTATGGAAAGCAAGGCAGTCCAGTTCTGCAGAAGAAATTGCATTGACAGAAATCTGTTCAGGGCACAGACTCCCACTCAGTACAACCCACTAACTGGAGAAAAGTACCCAAACACTCTTTGCAAGGGCCTTTTCTTCAGAAATTAAGTAGCTGAACCTTATCCTCCTATTTCCTTGCACTTTTGTCCTAATATTATGTATTACTTTGACCTTCTCAATGAACCGTCATTTGATTGGGTGGATATTCTAGTTTTCTCAGTTTGGTTTCAGTGTTTTAAGAATACTAAATTATCAACAAAGTATATTAAAAGATGTTAAATGTTTTTGTTTTCTCCTAGTTAAAAAAATTCATAGAGAAACGTGAATAGGCCATAATTCTTTCTCCCTTTTTCTCTCCAGGCTAGAATCTGGACAGGAGGCAAGCTCGTGGGGAACCTGCGCTTTGACCAAGCAAACTGCAAAGCTGGCTGCGACACAGGCTGAGACTGAAACTCTCATTTAGCTCCTAACAGCAGCATTTAACTTCCTTGAAGGGGGAATGCAATTGCCATAACACAGATATCCAAACCCACTGTTTCTTGATGGCAACAAGTATTCTCTAGTATTATAGTTTATCAATAAACATCTAGCTAGTCACAAGGCACATGTTTCGCTTATTTAGAGCTATTAGGTGACATTAAGAGACTGACATAAACAGAGTAAACAGCATCCTAATATCAATTTTCTAGGTAAGCAAGTGTTTCATAGACACTCCACAAATAAAAACACATACTGAAGGAGACATCATAGCTGAATAAGGCAATCCTTGTATTAAAATGTGGTCCAGACTATGAATATGTTTGATGGCTCTGCCATTGCGAGTCTCAGAAAAGACACTTTGATTGCTTCAAAGAATTGTTCCAAAAACATCCACGGTACATTAAGGTGCCACAAAAATAAAACAGCAGAGCTACTTTTTTCCACTGCTAGTCAAGATAACACTACTTGTCTATGGATGAAGAGCAGCTGCAATGCTTGGCCCATCTGCTCCATGCTAGAGAATAAACCAGAGACTCTTCATTAAAACAAATATTTACAGAGGCACCTCGATGGTATTTCCCTGCTGTGCATATGCAGCCTACTGTTCTTCCAGACTCCTCTTTTTTATACCTCTAGGATAGACACATTCATGTCTACATATAAAATCATATGAGAGTCAGTGGCCAGTCAACATAAAACCACCAGAAAAATAATATTATTGATCCAAATGCACAGGCCTGACAAAGTTAATGCCTTGAGCGGCTACAAAGCACTAGTAGTAGACTGAGCAGGACGTTACTCAGTGTTTTTCATTTTAATTGTATTGGTCCTTCTTCATCATCTTTGCATCTTCAATGCAAAACTACTGCATTGTCAGTCTATATGCCCCTTCCCTTTGTGGAGTAAAAAGCTCTGCTGTGGTATATTTACACTTCTTAAACAACCATGCTGAATTAGGAGCATTTACTCAAAACCTTTTTTTCTGTAATACTGATTAACTGTACTTTCATCTAGAAAATTTTAAACACATGTTTTACTTTCATCATATTCATGTTGACAGACCTCCTTTATCAGTACTTTAATTAACAGCAGGTAAGGGAGGCAAAGTGAGTATGACATGCTATTACTTCTGCTTGATTTAAAGTCTGCTTTTGAGACTTTCTCTCGGCTCATAGCTGAAATTGTCTTATTTCATACATTCCCAGGATTACTCTTTCATGTAAATGTCATTTTTGCTGTCCAAAACATTAAAAAAACCCACACCAGTGCAATATAACTACTGTCTCTTTCTGAAAGACATGAGGGAAGCTGTATGCTTTTGATCAGACAAGATCCCAACTTCAAAGTAACACCTCATCTGTAAATATATTATACAGTACTCTTAGTAAAGAAAGGGGGACTCCTTGATTTCAAATAACCTAAGGCTGATACTGTGGGATTTGCCCACATTCCCGGAGTTTAATCCTCTGAATACTTGCACAAAATCAGACCAAAGATGGAAAGCAGTAGTTATATGCCTAGGGATGCTCTACCACTGATTTGATCAGAATCTTCTAATAATTTTTTTACTTCATCCCTGGAAATGTTTTCATTATTTCTTTCATTGCTGCAGTTCAGAAAATCAAAGCAAAATTCCAAATTACCTTCAATGGATTCATCTATTTGGGGACTGATGGGAAAGGCCATTAAGCTATTACTCAAGCTACTGATCAGCATGGACTGGGATGGTATCAGATCATACAAATAGTATTAACTATTTAAGAGCCAGCTATAATGTGAATATTTGCACATGGGAAAATAGAGTTTTGAGCGGGCCACAGAGTGGTCAGTTGTACCAACTGAGAGTACCATCAACAGTGTAAGTGGGCAGATATTACATTCATCTCCATATAGAGGCAACAGGAAGCAGCCTAGGACATTGACATGAGGGATACTTTTCTGCACAAAACCTTTTATCTCCAGATGAAAAAAATAACAATTCAATGATTTAGGTCTATTTTATAAATCATGCTATTAATTTCATTACATTTTTTATTTTAAAAAAAATCTAGCTATCTGAAATGAACAAAATCTGCTTTTCAGAAATTTGATTTCTGAAGTGATATTAAAGTGTCCTTTTGTCTTACTGAAGCTTCTTAAGTTTCCCAAAAATACAAACAAAAAATTTCCATTTACCTGAATGAACGTTCAATTTGCTAGAGAACTGTAAAAGTTTCTATTTCTAAGGAGGGATTTAAAACTCTTGAAAATTCAAGACTCTTAAAAAGCTGAAACAAGCCTATCTTTCTCCATATCTACTGTCCTGGTGTGCATCTTCTCGTTTGTGCTAAAAGTATTTGCAACAATAGGAAGGATCAAGCAAAGACGGAGTGCAGAGTTCTTCCTCTGGAATTGAGAGTGATCAGGACCTCCTACGTTTTTATGCCAACTTTTTCACTACAGATTAAAGTATATTGCTTAGTCAGTAATTTAACATTACAGCCCATCTTCTCCTTCTTGCCCAGTCTACACCCCTTACAAAGGTGATCTTAATGACCAGCAAGATGAGTGATGCTGTGATTGATCTCTGTGGTGTGCTGCATGCACATGCCCTGCAGAGCTCAGCAATCCCCACCTCCCATAAGGTCCTGCAGTACCTCCCGACTTGCTCTTTAGGAAAGACAGCAACCTCAGCAGCTTGTTCACAATACTGCCTTATCACTGAGTGGGCTACGTGGTGGATGGCATAGCCAGGAACATACAGCACAGCATTTCCGCGCCTCTTCACCTCACAGGTGAATGCTTTTTCATACCTGTGCTAAGCCCAAATGTCTGAGTGCCCACATAATAGACCTATCCCACGTGAAAGACCTAAGGTAAATTTGGCCCAAATGAAAATTCTGGCCCATTCCTGATTGGCACCATCATTAATGTTTGAACTGATATCTATTGCCTGAACTGGTACCTATTCCCATTTAACTGAAGATATGACATAATTTTTTCATACCATTATTTTGGTGGCACTTCAGAAAAAAAATTAAATCACTTTAATCCATTTTAGTTCCCATGACTGCCAGGATACCAACAGAAACAATGAGCTACCATTGACATGCAGCAGTGAGGTGGTTCAGCTCCTTCCAGCCTGAGGTGAAAATGCAGACTGTATGGGTGAAAATGCAGCCTATATGGCAGATTTCTTGTGCTAAAGGTCTACTGGAGACTAACAGCCACAAAACAAGACAAGACAACACAAGCCACTGAGCCCTACAACATTTATGAAAAATGTGATCTTAAATCTGCAGAGATTAATTTACACATAACCAGATCAGACATTTTGCAGAACTCACACCATAAAGACCTGACAATCACTATTTGTGCCATTAGCACAGAATGCAGATAATTTAATATGCTTGGTTGCATTTTGCCATCTCTATATTACTGTCTTTTAGTGAGCTCCTGCAAATTCTTGATGGGTGAAAAATTAAACAGTATAGCAGGCATAGAGGGAATTTGGACTTGGTACAAATTCAAACTTAACTGAAAAGCTAAAGGCATACCTGGAAACACTTTTAAAATATATAAAATTTATGAATACTTCTCAGTTTGCAGCTGAGACATAAATATGTGTAATGAGCATGTAACAGACAGCTTACCTCTCCAGCTTGGATATATATCGGCTGCTTCGCCTTCCCTTGGAAGCAGACTGATATAATGTGCGTTACTGGGTGAGTCGCCTTCCAGCAAAATAAATTTGATTTCTACTGCAATCAAAAGAATTTAAACAAAATCACCTATCAGCTCTCCCTAGGTTCATTTATCAAAATGTCCATGCCGGTTTTTACTTCCAATATAGAGAAATTAAGCAAGGTTTGTTTCAGGTAATATTTATAAAACGCTGAAGAATAGGCGTGAAGACTAGTTTCGGAAGGTCACGAACTTCCCCTGCCTTGTATTTCCTCAGTCTGTGGCTATATGCAACTTCTGCTGAGTAAGTCGCTTCCCCAGTTACTTTTGTCTATGCCTCTCTTCTAAAAGGGGATGTCTCCCCTCAGGGGCCCCCCTCACTTCTCCCATCGTGCCCCACACAAGCTATAGTTAGAAATTTCTGAATGCATCGTTCTTAAAGTATGCAAGGACATAGACCAACAATTTGCTATGAGGCAAAACCAACTTTTAAATGATACATTCTTAACTGTAAGCTTATAGTTAAAGTTTTAAATAATTTCTCAGGCAAATCTGTAGGCCCAGCCTTGGTTATCATACAGCTGTATTACGGAATTGCAGAGATGCTAGACATTCCTGATTTCCCTTTGCTTGTACTATAGCTCACTGCTTCATGTATCACATATAAGGCATGAAAATCATTGCAAAACAGATCATTTCCTCAATAAAAATACGTTTTTAACTCATCCTACTCCTTACGCAATGGTCAAACCACCAAAGCTTCTGATACTTAGTTTGGTCATACGATTTCTTAAATAATGGAATCTGGATATTTCCATGAAAGAAAAATTGTAAATCATATTTTTAATTCAGACATGCACCTTAATTTGTACAAGCGAGACCTGCTCACTTTTTAATTCAAAGTAATAGTGCCATGTGACCATGATTTTTCAACACCCACTAGTGAAGAAAATTGACTATTAACCACTGAATGCTTGCACAGAACAGGTCATGATTATACTGTTCCATTAATATGCTACTGTCATTATGTTAAAATGATAAAATCAAGGACATCTCAATGGATATTTTATCTTTTTATCTTTTTTTAAGCAAAAACACAAGCTTCTTTTTTCATCTACATTACTAAGCGTAAATTATTTATTTAACTCTACTCACATCATGCCTCTAATTTTAAACGACATTTGTAACAAGTTATAGGGAGATTTGTTGGAAATCTTTTCTCCCACTTGAATCTATACATCCAACTTTCAAAACTGCCTATACCTAACAGCTCCTATCATTACATCAAATTTTCAAATAACTCAGAACCTGGTCCTCAGAAAATATTGATTTGTCACATGTTTTACAGCACTATCTGAATTTCAGCAAGCTTACAACTTCAGGAAAGCATCATCAGGTATTTTGCTCCAAAATGAGGGATACTTACCCATGCAGAATGATCACATTAGGCAGGTAGCTGGAGGCGGATGGAGCCCAGCTCCGCGGCAAGGAATTTGAAACCGAGAACTCGGCCTTGAACTGGGACTCTCAGGATCTGGTGCCTCCCATTGACTTCACAGAATGGTATCGAGATCATCAGGAACTTGGATCCTCCATCCACAGCAGAAATATCCTCTGAAGTCTAGGAAACAGTCTAGGATCTGCAGAAACTGGGGGCTGAGAAGTTTGTGAAAGTTGAAGTCAGTTCACTCTGCTTCAATTTAGAAAAATCAATCTGAAATGGATATATATGTATATATATATTTTTTTCTTCTAAACGTTCCTCCCACAAAATTCTTAACGATTCCAGGTAATGTGAATCACAATGAAAACCTAAATTCATTTTCCCCAGAATATAACTACCAAAGTTTGGGATGTCTCCTTCGAAAAGAGACACTGTATTGGAAAAATGAGGTCACCGACTTGTTTCCAGCATTTGAGAATCAGGCTGCCATTGCCTAGGAATCCAATATCAATCTAGTAATTTTCCTCAGCTCTCTAACACCTCGTATTCCTTCTTGTTGTAGCAATGAAATAAGAACATACCTGACATTTTCCACAAGTATTCTCCATCTGTTTTCATAAAATATTTTACCCCCAATTTGGGTAGCAATTTAGCTTAATTGTGCCCAAATTATCAGCAGGCCATCTTTTGCTTGAAATCTTTTTCTCCTCTCTACTGTCATTTTTACAGGCAGCTCAGCAGATAATTTTATGCTACTGCAGTCACACAAGGCAGATTCTAATATTGATCTGAATTTTTCCCTTGAATATGATTTGCATTCTTAGCCTGATCTATTTTTTTTTTTTCTTCCCATAGAACATGATTTACATTCTTATGTCTGGCTGCTTCATTTTAAAGCCATCTTGAAAAAGTCTCTTTCTAATCATCCTTCTAAATTCATATGGGAATAACTCTTCCTACCAATGCTTAGGAAAGGAAAATCTCAAACAAATTGATGCTATTCTTGAACACTGTCATGAGGAGAGACTGTATTTGTTGATGGAAATTAGAGACTTTTTTATAGCTTACTAATAATCTAGCTCCGGGACAGCTAATTACTAGGGATTGTCATGTCTAAATGTTGAAAAAGTGTATTCCATCTTGTGGCTGATCTAAATAGGAAAAAAACCAGCAAGATCAGGCAAAGATCATCCTTGAGGCATATTAGTCTCTAGTACGAATACTTCTTTTGCATAAAGCTGAGGAGTTATGTTTTCCTCAGGTTAAATATAGGTCAGCTGGGGGAGATGAAATTGCCCTGTAACCATGCCCTATTTCTACTTGCTTTTCCTACCCATTGCACACGTGTTGGATGGACATATTCATTCATTTGTATGAATGTGGACTGACTCTGCTGGCCTGCTGAGCAGCCTCCACACTTGCTTTCAAGGCTAGCACCTCTCTCAGGATAGGCAGAATTGCATTATATACTCCTACCAAAATGAAAGAGGAACTCCTAAAAACCTGTATGTTTAAATCTCACGGATTTTGCTGAAATTTAAAAGTGCATATGGGACAAGGTTCAGTGATGCTTTGATATCTCAGTTCCTAACAGAACCTAATTTTTGTAACAAGAAAAGAAAACGTGCTACCACATTGCTATCCCCTCATCAGTTTTACATCCACCTTTTGCCATGTACTCTTTATTCAGTGGAGGTAGTAAACATTAGACTTACAGTTCTTGAGCAGATCTGACATATGGTAGTGGTGCATAAACACTGGAAGAGGAGGAATAGGAAAACAGTCATACTATCACATTTGCATAGCATTTTTCATAGTAGAAGTATTGCATCACACTGGAGAGACGCAATAGGGAAGTTTAATACTTCACCCCTCGTTTGGGTTTAAGAGTTTACCACTGCAATGGATCATACTGGAAAAGGAAACTGTCAGATTTTGGGAAGCTCCAGATAGGACAGAATCAGGTCCACAATCATGCAGAGTGTCTCATCCAAGGTCCAGCAGCTGACTGGGTCCAGATTACTTAAAAATTTCCCTAAGATGCCAGCATAAGAAATGTAAATAAATACCAAAACCATACATGTTACAATGCACACAATATTTTCCTGGGGTTGAAAGCAAAAGACAGTACTAATGACAGGCATTAGTCGTATTACTTAGAGTATCATTGGCCTATATTCACATGTTTAAGTGACAGAAAAAATAGGAAAATCAATAGCATATTTCCTGCTATCAGTGAGTTTCCTATCAGTGAGTTCTGCTTTTTACAAGTCATTTGAAATTCAATTCATGTTTCAATAAACGAAAAACACTGTATTAATAAGTTCTCAGTTTTCCAGTCATTTAATGCCTACATGAACACTCACTCTGAGCTCAGTTCCCCACTCATAGTTTCCTTTGGCCATAAGCAGAAAAGATGGGTGGGCCTGAGGACAGTTGTGATTCTGTAATTTTGCAAAACAAGGCAGATCTGCCCTGAAATACGCAGATTTTAGTTTGTAGGACTGGCATATCACCAGAAGCTGTATCATAATGGTGCATGATTAGGTGCATCATTAGGAACCTAATGATTAGGTTCCTCACCTCAGCAGCCAGGAGGGATGAATCTGTGCCTGAGTATTCCTGGGCCTTTTAATTTGTAACATGCTTTACACCACCACCATGTTAATGCTCAGAGGCTGTGGCAAAGTCTTTAGCGAGACCAGAGAAACCAATGCACAGCTTCAGAGTATGGTCACTACAGCTTTTTTCTTTTTAAAAGTACAAAAAAAAATGTGCGACTATTTGGCTACAATTACACTACACAACATGTCTGATTGTTTCATACATGTAACTTTTTATTCTTGTTTTCAATATTAGTGTATTTCTTTGATGCTGTAATAATGTTTTTAGTAATAATTTTCTTTCGGTTGTTCCAGAACAATTTCTTGGGAACAAATGGTTCTTTAAGCTGCTGTAGCGCTTTGGTTTATGCTTTTGTTTCCTGGTTCTGTTCTACCTCTTAGTGGCCGGAGGTCATATAGATATCTTATTTTATTTTTATATTTCGAGATGCTTGCTTTCCTCATTATTTTAAGGTTTTAAGTAATTGTTCTCCTCTTCTAGCTATCATGACAAAATTAATGGGATGATTTTCTAGAAAGGTCAGTCCTTTGAGCAGTGTAGCAAAATCATGGGAATATAAATGAGGCAAGTTAGTTACCTTGATTTCTCGGCCTCAAGAAACTGTGTATTTCTGGAAGGTCCTTCAACCTGTTAATCAGATTAGCAGAGGGACCTAATAACTCTGAAATAGAGATTGCTTCTCAATACTCTTTTTCTTATAGACCATACTGCTGTGTCAGTGTTTTCCACACTTAGCATCCTTCTTTGCCCAATAATGCTCTCAAGTAATTGATTCTTTCCTGTCACTTGTATTTTATCAATGAAACTATTACAGAACAAGGCAAAACATGAACCTAAATATCCACTTTTAAAAACGAACAAAAATCTTTCCATTAACAACCAATCTTAGGAATTAATTTCTTATGAATATAAATTTAATATCATCCAAAATTATATTTTCTTTTGTGCCTGTATCATGCAAGTATTTGTTACTTGGCACTGGTGTGGAAGGTTCTCCTATTAACAGCTGTCCCAGCTCCTTTAAGTACCTTCAGAAGATGCGCGTGCTTTATGTAGCTAAGCTCTTTTGTTCAAGAGTGAATTCATATGTCATTTTATGCTTGATTTATTTATATATTTGTATATTTTTATATATATATACACATATACATGCATGTAGGGGTGTGTGTATACATATATATATGAACAAAAAGAAGACGACTCCAGCAGCTCCTTTAAACTGGCATTGTGGGATTACATTTTGTATTGCAGCATGCATTTTTTTGTTAGCAAATCTAGTGGCTCCTGAAGATACTTAATCCATGCAGTTGGTAGTCTCAAGTGTCAACACATCTGCATTCCTGTCACACCAATGCCTTGCCAATAATTAAAATGCCAAATTCCTATATCAGTCCTGAAACCATCACCAACACTGAAACAACAGATGTGACACTTGAGATTACAGTTGCATGAGCAAAAACATAACCCTTTTAAGACCAGCATAATGTACTGACAATTTCAGAGACAGCTCTTAATTTTATATGATGCATGGTATCTTATGGATGGAAGATGGGGTCTAAGGCCCCAATAACTAAATCTTATTTTTGAAGATTTTGAAAAGGCTTTCAAGTATTCAAAAACCCGCTGCGGTTCACCTTGGAGACTCACTCTTCGCTGCGGCCCTGCCTGCATTCATTAGTCTCACAAGGAGTGGGACACAGAGAAGCAGAAGAAAAGTTGCACCTCGATACATGTGTGAAAAACTTTTTGACATGTGGGAGCAGAGAGACTTGGAGAAATGTGAAAGCAGTGTGCCAAAGAAGGGCAGTGAACCATAACTTTTGCAGTTTGATAGTAGTAACTGTGTGAGTATATATGTATTATACACATTATGTGAACATAATAACAGCTCAAGGGCAGACAAGACCCTGCCAGTTGAAGACGTGAATTCTTCTAATGCAAATACATAACTGCTGATAATGTTACGATTTTCACAAATACTTCCCAAGAAAACGGTCGACTGGAGAAGGTAGGTGTGACAGACAAGGCCTAAGGTTATCTATACGATACAGAATAATTATTTTGTTCTGGCAAAAAGAGAGAAGGGAGAAGAGTCAGGAATTACTAGATTAGAAGACACTCACCAACCTTCAAAGTGGGAAAGAAAAGAGTTCAGAGAGGATGCCTTCAGTATTAAAATTATGTAGGCTTGACATGTGAAGTGGTTAAGCTACTGAAAGGTAAGCTATTTTAATTCAGAAAAAGCTATGAATACAGGATATATTCCCTGAAAGTTACACAGCTCTGCTCCAGAAGTGGCAAATGTACTTCTGTGCAATGAAGTTAAATTTGTCATGGCTTCAAATACTCACTTTCTAGTGCTTGGCCTGCTCCTTTTTTACCTTCTCAATGCACAACTCGCTTGTTTGCACACACCAGTTACCGTGCAACTTTTTCAGGGTCTGTTCATGGATTTCATCCCTATGACCATAGCCTAAGAATGAGAGGATATCAATTAAACCAGAATATCAGTTTAACTAATAGGCTAGTATATGAGGCCAAACAAGTACTATCTTTTGTGTTTGGGTCTGTGTGACCAGAGAAGGAA